GCAGGGTTTGGACTACTGGTCCATAAACATTTCGCACTTTCTAAGGAATTTAATTTTGCCTGGATTGTATATTTCCACTTAGGCCAATCTTGTATCTGTTTGCATTCATCAACAGATCGGGGCTCAAGATCATCACTTAATATGATTTCAGTAGCTACTGAGAATGCGAACATGTCGTCGATGATTATTTCATTCTGATCCCACAATTCATTAGTACAAGCATAATTTATGGAGATTTCTTTGCTTTCATGTACCTCTGTTTCTTCAGGTACATGTGTCTCATCAAGGACATTTTCTTTTTCTGAAAGTACAGAATCATGAATTGTGGATTTGTCATTCATTTTCTCTTCTTGAATGATTTCATTTGGATTCAGTTATGCCCTTGTCTTTCTCTTTCGAGGGGCTGAATCTTTTGAATCTGGAGGTCTACCACGCTCTAAGCATGCACCAGATGAATCATTCGCTGCCACTTTATTTTGTCCAACAGGGACATCAATTCTTGCATGTGCATTTGCAGCTGGTATATGTGATTTTATCACTTTCATAGCATCATTAAATGCATTTGGCATTCGATTGGCAATACTTTGAAGATGAACGATCCTTTTTACTTCATTTTCACATTAAATGCTTTGAAGATCAAAATGAGATAAGGTGGGAACAACCCATATCAGCTCTTATCGTTCTTCTAGAACGGTCTTTTCTACCCTTAATGATGGGAAGATTATCTCATCAAAGTGACAATCAACAAAACGAGCTGTAAACATATCACATGTCAAGGGTTCCAAATATCTAATGATAGATGGTGAATCAAAACCCACATAAATTCCCAGTCTGCGTTGAGGTCCCATTTTAATGCGTTGTGGTGGTGTAATAGACACATAAACAGCACAACAAAAACTTGTAAATGTGAAATGTTTGGCTGATACCCAAACACGAGTGGCACTGAGAAGTATTGGTGGTTGGCTATAGGTCTCAATCGAACTAATGATGTAGCATGTAAGATGGTATGTCCCCATGCAGAAACTGGCAATTTTGTTTTCATGAACAAAGTGCGAGCTATTAACTGAAGCTGCTTGATCAATGCTTCTGCTAAACCATTTTGAGTATGGACATAAGGAACAGGGTGTTCAACATCAATGCCCAATGTCATGCAGTAATCATCAAAGGTTTGGGATGTAAATTCACCAGTGTTATCAAGTCGGATTGACTTAATGGGGTAATCTGGGAACTGTGCTTGCAACTTAATTATCTGAGCAAGAAGTCTTGCAAAAGCTACATTTCAAGTAGATAAGAGACAAACATGTGACCATCGAGTAGATGCATTAACCAAAACCATAAAATATCATAATGGTCCACAAGATGGTTGAATAGGCCCACAAATATCCCCTTGAATTCTTTGCATAAATGATTGGGATTCAGCATCAACCTTTAGTTGTGATGGTTTAATTACCAACTTCCCTTGAGAACAAGGCTTGCAAGGGTTATCATTTGAGATAGCAATGTGTCTGCTCAATAATGGATGTCCATTAGAGTTGGTAATGATTCTACGCATCATGGTCGATCCTGGGTGACCCAGACGTTCATGCCAAAACATGTAAACTTTTGAATCAATGAACTTTTGGTTCATGACAGTATGTGATTCAACTGTCTTTAAGTATGTATAATACAATCCACTTGTCAAACCATGCAACTTTTCTAAGATACGCTTCTGATTATCATTGGAGGTAATGCATATATACTCCACATTTTCTGCACTTTTTGTTTCAATGTGGTATCCATTTAAACGCATGTCTTTAAAACTTAACAAATTTCGAGTAGATCGAGTAGCGTACAATGCATTCTGTATGGACAATATTGTTCCATTTGGTAACATAATTTAGGCTTTCCCTAAGCCTTAAATTACATCTGATTGGCCTGATATTGTTGTTACCCTTACTTTTTTAAGCATCAATCTTGAGAAATACTTTTGATCTCGAAGTATTGTATGCGTGGTTGCGCTATCTGCAAGACAAATATCTTCGCCATTTCTCATGTTTTGAGAATGACCATAGTTTTTATCCATACTTTCTGAGTAAAGGGAATCATGGTTAAAAGCAATTTATAACAAGAAATTTAAATGCCACTTTTATTGAATTTGAAATGCTAGTTTTAAACTACAAGTTAGTACATTAAACATAAAAGATTCAGTCGGACCGGTATACTTCATTCCTCTTTTCCACAATGAAGTATGAGACATCTAGGTGGGTTGTGTTCAACTGCCCTGATAAGTCACACACTGGATCGTGTATATGCATTGGTTTAGCTTGGCCGAGAAAATTGATCTCGACACCCTTCTCCTTGATGAAGGCTTGATAAAGATCCAACAGATGTTTTGGGGTACGACAAGTACGTGCCCAGTGCCTATTGCCACCACACCTATGGCAGGCTTCTTCAGAGTTTTTGGGAACATTGTTCATATGATTTTTGCCTTTGTGGCGATTCACATTTTTGAATCTCGGGCCTGAATTATGCCTTGGAACCTTGTTGTGAAACTGGACACCATGATTCTTGCCTTTCCATTTCCACCGTCCTCTCCTATGGCCACATCCTCATTTATGATTATTGCCACTAGAAGATGTGGCGTTCACTTCGAGGGAAACAACATTCATTTCTGGGCATGGTGAAGATCTAATAGGTCGGGGCTAATGATTTTTCAGCAGGAGCTCATTGTGTTGTTCAGCAATCAGGAACACAGATATTAGTTGGTTGTATTCAGTGAAACCTCGCTCTCTATAATGATGCTGCAGGAGTACATTTGAGGCATGAAAGGTGCTGAAAGTCTTTTCTAGCATAACTTCCTCAGAATTGTACTCAGCCACTAACTTGAACTACTGGATCCTTAGGTGAGTCCACTCATAACGAGCTCTTTGAAGAATCACTATTTTCTGGTGATTGTATCTGTTTCTCAATGCCTTACAGAAAGCTAACGGATCTTCAACCGTTAGGTACTTGCTCTTTAGTTTTTCATCAAGGTGGTGACGGATGAAGATCATGGTTTTCGCCCGATCTTGAGAAGATGCATTGTTCTCCTCCTTGATTGTTTCTCCAAGATTCACTGCCTCCAAATGGATCTTGGCATCCACTATCCAGGTAAGGTAGTTTTTCCCAGTAATGTCTATGGCAACAAAATCAAGTTTTGCCAAGTTCGTCATTTTCTTTTCTGAAAGAAAACTGAGATGTATAAGAACTTTACAATAATATGTACTCTGGAGGTATGTAGTGTTAGAACTTTTGGTTCTTACAAATTTTTCATTTTGATTTTCAGGCCAAAATGATAAGCACTTGAAACTTCAGGCTCAAGATTTTCAGGATGAATGAGGAGGGCGATTATACTGCACCATTCTCATAACATAGGATGGGCGATTATTCCACACCACTCAAGTAGCAGGAAAATTTATATACGCAAAGCAGGATGGGCGATCATACCGCACCACCTAAAATTGCAATAAAATTAAACAGCAGACAGATTTAAATATGCAGGGTAGGGTGAGTGATTATACCACTCCACCTAAAACTTGTAGTAAAATTAGATCTGCAGTCCAAGATAGGCGATGATATCACACCATCTTGGATTGCAGTAAGATTAAATTTGCAGTTCAAGATGGGTGATTGTACCGCACCATCTTGGATTGCAGTAAAATTAACATAAATAAACACTGGGTTAGTAGTCAGGAGCTACACCAAACAAGAAATCAAAGATATAAGTAATTTTTAGGTTGAGAACTAGGAGCAGGCATGGTGCACACAGTTCTTCGCGAGGGTATATCCAGCAGTTGTGGTGGAGGAAAAAGAAGAATAGTAAAATCCTTAGAGGAAACATTTTTTTTCTTTCGGCGAAGAGAAATGAGAGAATGATTAGAGAGTCGTGCTGATAACGTGTTATAAATAGGTAAAAGTTAGAGAGATAACCTTTACTAGTGACAGGAGCGAAGCGGGTGTAAAGTATCATATTGTAACTATAACACAAGAGGATGCCAAAAAAGAGAGGGAGGGATAGATAATGATGTTATTGATCTTTCTTGTTCTTTTTGTATATCTGGATAGTAGTTGGAACACTCTATTTATAGAGTAACTCCAAACAAACGTATTATTACATTTTGAAATTTACAACACACAACTTTTGAAAATACGATCTCCTTCATTTCCAAAGTCCACATTACTGTGTGGGTATTGAAAATCTGTGTGAGCATTCATTAACCTGCCAAATATTTTCAACACTGCCAATGTTTTCAACATGATTTTTATTTTGAAACTTTTTCATACAACCTCTCAGAGATTAAAAATAAATAAATAAATAAAAAATCATGGATCCGCCACTGATTAGCTCTAATAATTTATAGAGGCTAACTTTCGAATATAAATTGTAAATTTTCGGTTTGAAGATCAATAACCAAAAGTAGGACCGAACTGTTCTATCAGGACACTTCTCTATTTAAGGGATTGTGGGCTTGAAGCTTTAAACCTAAAGGGCTCGTTCTCCAGCATTGACTTTATCTCCATTGCAGTCAATTCATGCATGCTAGAGAACCAGTCCTCTCTCCTCGTGCTTACATCTTTAAAACTTAGTTGAAATTTTGATCCTTCAATCCTTTAAAATATAGAACAATCTATAGGCTAAATTTCAAGTTTAGATGTCAGGTTCCATATCCCACTGTCACTGGTCGTATACTTTGTTCTTCCAGCGTGAAACTGTATTCCAGTCAATAGGTGAGCCTAATCTCAATGAAACGACAACATTACCCCACATGCATCATGCATGCATAAACTTACCAAGATATTGACCAAAACCCATAATTTTAATAGGAAAATTTCAAAACCAATCATCTGGTGCCAATGGTATACAACATTAAATAGGATATGCACCAAACTTAGTTGGCCAACTACTTCTGCAAGGTTTGTATGAATGTATATGGAAATTTGTTCTGCTTGTACTAGTTGGTTAATAGTATTTGACATTTACAGAAGTCCGCGACTACCTCTTAGATCGTTGTATAAAAAAAAATAATAGAGAGAGACAGAATCACGAGTATATTTAATGAGATACTGGGGGGAGCAGGGTAGAAGAAATTAAAGGATGATAAATAATAAAATGGAAGAGTACTCATCATCAACAACATTAAAAGAGAAGATATTGGATGTTTACAATAAGAAGCCATGCCGCAAGTTCTTTGAAGAAACAGTGAGGGCACTTTTCAAGTGTTTGGGTGTTGAGGCTTCTTCTTCACCTGCAGAAACCTCGGTGATTAATCTCCCCCTCTAATATATATATATATATATATATATATAAAGTATGTGTGCAATTAGGTAATACTCTCATGTTGTATATTTGCATGCAGCGCGGAATCGTATGTGCGGAAAACCCACCTTTAAGCACAGGGAGTGGTGGTCAAATTAATTGATCAACTCTTAATTACCACAAGCCTGCATGATACGGAGTATGGACAATCTGGAAGCCAGAGTTTTCAATCATGTTTGTCAAAAGTTTTATTTTTCACAAATTACAACAGTGAAGAGAACTAGTCCATTATACCATGTCTGTAATATAGATTCGACCATCAATGCAAAGAGATCTTACTTCTATATGAGAAATGATACAATAGGATCAAACATCTTCTTTTCATATAAAAAAATGCGAGTCATGTCACCAAATTTAATTTTTCTCTTATTCAAATAAATTAAAAGTTCTTTTGTGAGAAATATTTATATCAAACTACAAAATAATACAAACTAAAAAAAATTTAAAAGTTCCTCCTCCATTGCACATGCATGTGAACAGTTGCTAGTTAAATCAGTAAACTAAACCACATCAAAATAGACCGAGGTCCGACAACCGAAACGATACATGAAGAACGACGTCTGTCTGTTAACATATGCTTGAGCCAGATTTATAATAAGACTAAACTGGACAACAATCGATCCCAAAAACAAAGTTCATCTTCATGTAAGATGTTTCATGCATGATCCATGAGGTCCCCCTACAACTAAGGAGTTCCAAGTTCATATGTAGAACAGATTAGAAACATGATTGAAGATCAGCTCAACAAGTGCCAAAATAGAAAAATCTTGTGTAGAATCGGGCCCCAAGCTCGGAACCAGTCCATGGTATATATATGTCGTACCGAAGAGAACAACTAGACGAATGCAACCCACTTCTTTCCTATGACCTATAACCATCCTTAGATATTCCGATGCAAAATATGCAAAACAAGTGTTTTATGTTTTCTGATTATTTTTTTAATTATGTTAATTTCATTATTTGCTTCCGATTGGGGTGCCTAGTGGCTAGTGATGTTAGGGTTGTTTAATTAGGTATAAAAGGGCAACATTAGCGTTGCTTCTTGGATGATATTCATATTTTGTATCCAATAAGGGTTGAGGTATTTCCTTTGAGCTTGTTACGATGCCGTCAGTAAGCGTCTAGCTATACTGAAGAGGAAGCTCCTTGAGTATCTATACAGAAGCATATATTTTCCCACTCAAGTTCTAACCCAGCAACTCTCGAAATAAAAACCGCTCACCGTGAATGTTCTAACCCAGACATGTAAATTTTTGTAATTCCAACTTCCACGCTGAATTATTGTTCGGTAAAAATGAATTAATCATGTCTTAATCCATGGTATTTGAGAACACGTGTTCTTAAATTTGTGTTATATAAGTGAAATGTCGTAAGTTTTTTATCTAAATGATGAATGCAACAAATTAAAATGAGTACTCTAAGGTTTCGTTTAGTCTATAAAATTGGATTGTATTGGATTGAATAATTCGCGATGAAAAAATAAAAAATAGTTACGTTTACCTTGAAAGTAGAAGATGAATTACTTATTAAAGACACTTATCGTTTTCAATTCCCTACCCTCCCAAATGATAAAAGAAAAAGAACACATTTCCTTTATGTCTAATCCCTCCTATGTTCCCAATTGGGCCAATCCGATGACGTAACATACGTGGCCTACACACCGACGCAAATTAGTGGATTAATCAAAGAAAATCTCAGTTGAACATGAGATTAGGTGACAAAAGACAAGTAGATATGTCCGTACAGAGGTATATTCCTTTGACAACATACATAGTCCAAGAGTTAGTAGTGTCGCTGTTATGGCTATTTATAAATTTAATACCTAATACAGGGGTGCTAAAATGGCAGTTATGGTGTTGGCCGTCATTCAGAATGCAAAGGCTAAGTTATGGTGACAATGATCTTTCTTCTTTGCACTATACTACAGATTGAAAATGTTATCAGATGTCGAGTTTGGATGTTCAATTTGTCATTTATCAATTCACAATGATGATGATGTTTCGGATTAGAAGCTCTACCCCTTCCATTGATAATATAAGGTGCAACAGTATTAGTTTTCCTAGTTGCCTCTTATATTTCTAATGTCTGGTGGTATCTTTCTTTTTTACTTGGCTTAAAATTCTTAAGACTTGAAAGTCCCTCACCCGAACATAACTTTAGAGCATTAAAGATTTAAGTTGAGCAATCAAACATATTTTTCCTAAGAGTAAGTAAGTTTTATATAAACATATTGAACTAACTCCAAATGATTAATTTGGATACGACTATTCACTATGTTGAAAGCATATTGAAGGAATAAATAGATGACAACTTTCATATTTTGCCAAAGCTGAAGATTGTTCATGAGGAAAAGATATCCCTACTTTTTTTTGGGCAAAAAAAAAAAAATCCACAAAAATAGTAGGATTAAGGGACATTTTTCTTTCATGGTTAACCTTCAACTTGAACAAAATAAGGAAATTGTCATTCATTTTTTTTTCTTCCAAAAGTGGTGTGTTGTCATTGAAGTATTGGACTATCGAAGGGAAAAAAATAAATTAAAACAGGTAATTATCGTCAAATTCTAGGTTTGTTTTGGTCAAAAACTAATTAGCAGATCTACATGTTTGCAAAGGAAGTTAAATTACATTAATTGTTGTTAATCAAACGAAGCTTGAAATATTTGTCCCATTTATGAGAAGCAAGTTCTAATGCACTTGGATGGTATGCAAAAAATACCACAAAATGGTCAGAATTGAAAAGGATGGTACTATTTATGCACATATTTTATCCTTTACATACTTTTATTTTTTATTTTTGACCATTCAATGGAATAAATTGAACAAAATCAAAGTATATAAATTAACAAAAGAGTATGAAAAATGAAAAAATGAGTGTAAATAGCACCAACCAACTTAAAAATGATGGCACCCAATGGAGTCACTCCAGTGGCACATAGCTGCCCCTAAAAGCATCTCTTATAGAGTTGGCAAATGAATAGCCAAATTTTTTGTGATGATGCTCTAATAGAGTAGTCAATTTATAATAAGGAAAATTAATAAAAACAGTTTGAAAATTTTGAGTCTTAATGATAAGGACAAAATAAAGAGTAAAATAAATAGTATTATAATTGATTTTTTAGTGTAAAAATATGATTTTTTATTAAAATGAACAGTATTAAAAAATTTTCATTAAAATTCCTTTTATAATAAAGTATTGTATGTGAGAGGAAGAAGACAAAAAAAATAAAAATAATAGATAAGTAAATATCAAGGATGAAAGAAAATAATAAAATATAATTTTACTTACTTGGTTCTCGCAACATGACACGTCAACCATAATAGTACAATATTGCATTTAATATTTGCCTACATCATTGCAAATGCTCTAAACCGTATACAATGGAGATTTTTGAGATGGACTTGGATTGTCTGCCCTCCCATTTCGATGCTCTTTCTGTGCTCTTCTGTTTTGTGTGATCACGGTTAAACTACGTTAATATTTTATATTGTTTTTCTATAAAAATAATAAAACAAAAAGAAATAGTAATATAAAATGTTGACGTGACTTAACCGTGATCACACAAATAGAAGAGCACGAGAAAAATACCGAAATGAGAGGGCAGACAATCCAAGTCCTTTTGAGATAGACATGTTTGAACTGTAGATTGAGGGAAAAAACTATTTATGAAAACAATTCGATATTTTTATGTAACAAGTACATTGCTATTATTGTGTTTCGGGCCACTAAATACAAGCTATGTAAAGCGAATTCAAAGCTTTACCATCATCGCAGTCAACTTGTTGCATGTAAGGTTTTTTCGTGTAATTGAAGAGGAAAGAGAAGGGCAATTATGTACATTTATGAAAACATAAAAGAGGAGTTATTAAAGCGATATCCAGAGGGAGAGCAGAACCATTTAAGAGGGTAGTTAAAGTAGTAGGTGAAGCTGGTTCAAAGACTCACAGGAAGAAGAAGAAGACGAAGATATTTGTTGAAATGGAGTACTCACAGTCAAGCAAAGTATTAGCTGATGATGAGGAGGAGTTGATGGAGAAGAGAAGTTACCATATATTTCCATGCCACTTCCTTGAAGAAGCAGTCAGGGCTTTCTTCAAGTGTTTGGGTATTGAGACTAAATCTCAGGAGGACAACGAAAACCCCAAGAGAGCTACTCCTGCTTCAACCCCAGAACAGAATGATGCAGATCCATCACTTCCGACGACGGACGAAGATCCTCCATCTTCATCAGCTACAACAGGAACCACAGTTAGTCTCTCTTTCTCACGTACATATTCTTTAGACATGGTTGTTTGTATTTGTTTATTTTATTTGAAGGATTAACTCCAGAGCGGAATTTGAACTTGAGACCTCTTTCGACATTGAAGAGAGAAATACCACTACACCGGGTCTGAATTATACAGATCAAGTTATGGTAATGAACAAAATATGGTGTTTTTTTTTTTATGTGCAGGACGAAGTTGCTGCAGATACAAGGACAAATTTGAGCGCTCGTGCAAGACCAGGACTAAGCGTAGGGGGAGGTGGGAGAATTAATTCATCAAACAATTAACCTCAGTTCATCTTGTTTAAACACCCCCTCCATGTTCTGTGGAGATATCTATGGTTAACAAGTCTGTTAATTAAATATCTATGTATATAGGTAATCTCCTGCGTTTTTTTAGTTCTTTTTCCTCCCTTTTTTTTTTTGGTCTGTTTTTAATTTTGTATGAGATATTGCATCGTGTGATTGTGTTAAATGAAAGGAAACTCTTTCTGACAAAAATTCAACTTATGCTGTAGAGTGACATGCAAAAAAATAGTCTCAGAAAAGTTAATATGCACCGCCTTGCACGTTTCTGTTAGCAGTGGCATGCAGTGGTAGAGTCAGGAATTATCGCAGGAGGTGTGAAATTTTTTTTTCTTCAAATAAATGATATTATCTATACTAAGAGAGAAATGAATGGGCTAAACTTGATAATGAGCTAGTAATAATATGGTTTAAATTTGACTTTGACGAGAATCAAACCTAAGTTCTTTCACTTACAAGTGAAGCTAAATATCACTATATCATAGCACTTGTGGCGGGTTGGGGCGAACTTAAAAGAGTAAGGTTAAAAAAGATTAGCTAATATTTCATCAAACTCAATGTTCTCACTTTGTTAGGAACTACTCGGAATAGTCTAAGAGGACTACCTAAAATATTTAAAGGATGACCACTTGGAATATTTGGAGGAAGGTATAAGCATTGTTTGTTATAGTATCATTTCATTACGCAATTGTATACTATGAAAAAAAAAGTCTTAGATTCTTAATCCATACCAATATAATATAAATTATTCATTAAACAAAATTCAATTCAATTAATCAATATCAATGAGATAATCAAGAATTCAAATTTTACTTTAAATAACAAGTTTATTCATCAATAATTATAAGATTTCATATTCATATTCAATAATTAATAACCATATTGATTAATTACTCTATAATTCTGCGTCAAATAAACAAAATTTCAAATTAAATAAGCAATTAGGCGCATACGTTAAAGTTTTTCTTTTTCTTATTTTTTTGTCTTCCTGTCTCTGGAAGCCTCTCCTCTTGTCTCCTAATCTTTCTTTTTTCATCGCTCTCTCCCCTTTGCTCCCTCCAATTTTCTCATAGTCTCTCTCTCCTAATCTTTACGAAGTCTCTCGCCCTTTTCGCCATGACCATGACCAATAGCTGCTAATCACAGGGGTTTTGTACCCACTGGCTTCGTCAGGCCGAGGCTTCATTCTCCGGCCCATTCGTCCCACCGCCGCTGCCGGAGAGGGCCAACACAGGAGCTGGGTACCCATCTCAGCCCCTCTCAATTTTCCACCTTAGAAGTCCTCGTTGTTAAACTCGAGGATGAAACGGCGGTTCGCCGAGAGGCACGACTCAAACCACTAGGGCGCCGAGTCAGTCAATTAATGCCCGTGTGCTTAGTCTGGAGATATTTTTGTAATCGGCAATGAAAAATTTTATAACTTAAAAAATAAAATTTTATACCATTTACATAAAAACATGGAATATACTACAGTGTTCCTATTACAATGAAAAATTTCTCCTTATTCTGGCTGTGCTGAGCGCCCTTGTAGCCCGACTAATTGGGCTGGGGTGGAGAGAGCATTTTGTATTTTGGTGGAATGAATTTGCCCAATTGCCAAAGCAATTGGTTAGCGGTGGACTTGCAGTTAGTAGACTAGCAGTGGGTTAGAATATTAATTAAGGGTGTGATATTTACACATATTTTTTTATTTCTTTCACACTTTTTTAGTTTTCGGCATTCGGATCAAATAAATTGAAGAAGATCAACGGATAGAAATTAACAAATGGTGTGTGAGAAGTAAAAATTGATGTATGGATAGCACTTCCCAATTAATTAATTGTCAAAAAATTTTGGGTCATTTTCACTGCTAATGGTCAAAAAGTTTTTCTTAGCCTTTTGGGCCATTTTTTCACCTAAGTCACTTCTCGTGACTTTGAAGCAAGGCCATTGTTCGGAATCCAATAAGCCTCCGAAACCCGAAATTATTTGAAGGCCTAAAATTAGTGGCTAATTATCAATATAATTAATTAATTATTGCGCAATACTACATTTTATTAGTATTTTTTCATTTGTAAGTAAGAAGTTTTATATTTGATTTTCGTCAAAAATGAATTTAAACAACATTTGCGAGCTCATTGTGAGACTTACCGTTTGTTAAAAAAAATTAATTAAATAAGATTATGTAATTAATCTTATTAATTAATTTCATCATCCCCTTTCGAGTATTTATTATTTACAGCAAATATTTAACCTCCAAAATTGAAAATCTTAGGTTTTATTTAATCTTTTATATGGCCCAATACTGAAGTCAGTTGACCAAAAGCACCCTCAAAGTTAAAAACCAAACACCATAAGCAAATGAGCTTATTTGACCAAAAAAAAAAAAAAAGTTTGACAGAAAAAAAAAAGAAGAAAAGAAAAGCAAATGTGCTTCTTTTTTCTTGTTCTTTGTATTTTTAGGGTTTTGATTAGTTTACATATCCCAATCCGAGAAAGCACAAAGAAAGGATAGAGACCATGATGAATTTTTTTGGGGGCAACTTTTGTATATTCTTGTGTAATAGTATTTTTTATTTTTTATTTATTTATTTTTATCATGATCAGCATTGTAAATTTCATAAAACTACTTATGCATATTTTAAAGGGAGTTTTAACTAAAAGCCCACGATACTGTTCACTTTAACGAAAAACCATATTTTTACACTAAAAAGTCAATTCCGGTACTATTCACTTTACCCTTTATTTTGTCCTTATCATTAAAACTCAAAGTTTTCAAACCCTTTTCATTAGTTTTCCTTATTTTAAAAGGGGTGTGATATCCACACACTTCATTTTACTTCTTACACACCTTTTTAATTTTCAGCCATCGGATCAAATAAATTAAAAAAGATCAATGGACAGAAATTATCAAGGGTTGTGTGAGAAGTAAAATGGGGTGTGTGGATAGCAAACCCCTTTTAAAATAGTATTATTCAAAATGGAAATTGCCAGTACGAACTTATGGCATTGTGCAACTCCCTGGCCTCCTTGGATATGTTTTGAGGGAAATTGGGTCTATTTTAAGTGGATTATTGGCCATATTTCATTTTGGGTAAATTACATAGTAACCCTTCAGGTTTAAGGTCTATTACAAGCCCATACAACATGTTTAAAACATTTCACTTTCATACCTCACGTACTATTTTATTTCAAAATAATACATCCGTTAGATTTTCCATCCATTGATCCGTTAAGCGCTGACATGACTGCCACATTTGTCCCGCGTAGCTGCCAAATGTGTGCCACGTGGCAAAAATAATTTTTTTAATTTTTTTTTAAACCTGAATCTTCTTAAAAAAAAATCAAAAGCTAAAAGAAAACCCCCACCCCCGTAACCCCCCAAACCAAAAACACCCAGAAAAGTCCCCACCCCCTGCCCCAAACAAAATCAAACGCAAAAAGGACCCCACCCCACAAAATCGGATCTGGAAAGGACACCCTCCCTCCCTGACTACCCACCTAACCCAGAACCCAAAAACCTACAACAAGAAGAAGAAGAAGAAGAAAAAAAAAAAAAAAATTCCCAGAACCCTTCCCCCCCCCCACCACCCTGCCGTGACCCGCGACCCACCTCCCTTCCCCCCGCCACGACCCGCCACCCGCCTCTTTTCCCCCCGCCACTAGGATCTTGTGATTTTCAGTGTGGGTGAGTTTTGAAAATACTTTTGAGTTTGAGATGATTTTTGGACTGGTTTTGTGGTAGATCCATCTAATCTCGGGTGGAATTTTTGGGGTGGGTGATGGGGGATTTTTTTGGGGGGGCGGGGGGGGGGGGTGATGGGGATGGGAGAAAGGGGTGGCTCGGGTGGGAAGAACTGGGGTTTTTTTTTTCTCCCTCTTTTCTTCTTTTTCTTGCTGGTTTTGGGGGTGGACGAACTGGGACTTTTTTTTTTCTCCCTCTTCTTCTTCTTGTTGTTGCAGGTTTTGGAGGGCTTCTTATTCTTCTTCTTCGACGAACTGGGGTGGGTGGGGTGGGGGGTACGGGGATTGGTTAATTAACCTTTTTTTTTTATAGAAGATTTAGGTTTAAAAAAAAAAATTTAATTTTTTTGCCACGTGGCAGACACGTGGTAGACACGTCAGCACTTAACGGATTAATGGATGAAAAATGTAACGGATTAATGGATGAAAAATGTAACGGATGTATTATTTTGAAATAAAATGGTATGTGATGTATGAAAGTGAAATGTTTTAAAGATGTTGTATGGGTTTGTGCAAGACGTCAAACCTGAGGGATTACTGTGTAATTTACTCTTTGATTTTTTTTTTTAAATATAAAAACTTGCATTTATGAATTCATGTTTTAAATTTGGCTAAAACGATAAAAACTTTGTAATTTCATCAAAGATGTTTGAGGTTATGCATAATCTATATGGTTTCTTGCTGGCATGTAATCAATTAAACTACATCCAATAATTTAGCGTTCAATGTACTTTCTTTTTGTTGAGAACTTACACCCTTATCTCAGTGTCCTAACATGAATGTCTGGAGACTACCCATTCTCTTAATTGAGCACACATAATGTATATTAATTTCTTTTTTCCGATTATCAATGTGTTTTTTGATAATCCTACGACTTAAAAACAAACTAAGATATGATAGGGAGAAAGTCTCTTGAATCTAACATTTTTAGATTACTTCAACATCGATGGACCCAATATTAAGGCATGTAACGATTAATGGGACGATCATTAATAGGGATTTTTCCCTCTGATTAAATTAGTAAATTAATAATTTGTATTATCCTAAATTTGCATCTTTATAATTGACTTTTTGGATATATATCCAACAATATATCCAAGAATCTCTCAAGTGAACCACAACCACTCAGAGCGTGGGACGTGGATTGATGATTATAGTTTCATAATGACGAAGTTACCCTAACAACGTGATCGCATAGTAGAATCTCACTCAACCTAATGAGCTAAGCAAACCAACCTAAGGAAGAAGGATGTCTAAAACTATGAGGCCCCGAGGCTCAAATCACTTGCCAAGCACTCTAGCATGATACTTGTCCCATAACCAGACACCACTCCCCTCCCAAGAGGAGTGGTCAACTGCACCATCGCAGCTCAGCCCTCGGGGCACTTGAGCAAGCAGGGGAAGCTCCACTGAGTCCTAGATAAGGTCAAACAATGTCCTACACAACTCCATGTTAAATACTACCTCTTACATGGAAAGTTCTCATGCCGAGTAACCACCAAGGGAAATACTCTTCCACTGGTCGAGGAGTGTCAGGAGACTGCATCCACATTTCAACATGCGTAGTAGATGACTGTTGGACTTCTCCTTTATAAATAGCTAGCCAAGTCATTGCCTACATTTGGTAGTTCAAAACTCTACAGACTTTTCAATTTTTCTAGAACTCTCTCCGCCTTAAGGCATTAGACTGATTAGAGGCCCTTTGGCAAACACCACATTAAGTTAGTCCATGAATTTCGATTTATCTTTTTGTAGGTTTCCTAGTCAATTTGCTTCAGCATAAATTTGCATCTACAATAAATACTATAAATTTTGTCGTCATTTACCCTTGAGATGTTTATAAGAAGTTTGTTTTGTGAAGATTTTGAATAAAAAAAAATGTAGGGCAATGAAATGTACTCTAAGCTTATTTCTTTAGAAAACAACTCACACGTTAGTACCAGACAAACAAAAGACTTCTACACCATAAAGAAATTTGGAGAAAGCATATCATATCATACCGATTCCATATTGCAAAAATCAACAAAAAGAATTCGCTTTGTAGTTGCACAGAAGAAAAAAGTTGCTTTTTTTTTAATTGTGTAGGGTTTTTAATTGATAAGGGAGAGGTTGTTCATTTGTGCCGTTGTATGTTGATGGGAGAAAATGAAAAGCAAATTCTAACAAGGATTTCTTTCAAAAGAAAAAGAACACAGGGTTGGACTTTTAAAGACGTACGTGTCCAAATTGCGGGGGTAGGTACCTTCAATAAATTTTAGGGTGGTGATAACATAACACTTTTGAAAATCAACCCGCAATTAAGTTAATTCTCCATCTAATTTACGTGTTTTTCTTTAAATTTAGAAATTTTAACTTCATGGCAAGTATTGGGCAAGGGAATAAATAGAGAAGTGAACATGTTCAGGTGATGTAGTACATTTTTTGTACTACACAAACGTGGTACACTATAAAACACAATCCTTCTCACTATCCTTCCATGACCAAGCAGATGATGCTCCCTTTGTCGTAAGATCAGCTCCACAGGTGCTCCCACTGCCTGGGCATTTGGGTTTAATTGCCGCTAACTCAACAAAATCATCTCCAGGGTTCAAAATATGGCAGTAACTGAAGCAAGGGCAGCAGCCCGTTGGACTGCCTAGACAAGAACTGCCGGGCCTTGAGCCTGCTGGCTAGGGATGACAAGGCTGAGACGTCAGGCAGCAGAAGGTGCCATCCCCATGACAGTTGAATTTCTGATGGTAAAAAAGTTGAAAATAATGTTGTTGTGATGTGTGGCACAATTTGGCTAATCTGCTTTGATTTTTTTTTGGAACTCAACGGTCAAAATTAATCAAATGCTAAAAAATCTCAAAAAATTACAAAAAGTACCCCATTTTTTTTTATAAATACCAAACAATCTTCTTCATTTTCCACACCACAACTCAATTATTATTAATATATTTCAAATCTAATTAACATGTATTATTTGACACTTAAGTAATTAAAAGTTATATATTCTCTTCTATTGGTGTCTGATGCTATAATATTATAAGCTGGATGATGTGGATATACTGCGAAGGTATTGTCAAAGTTCATCATTTGGTAAAATTTCTACATCAAAAAGCTTCATTAAATTCAGATTAGTATATGGGAGATTACATACTTTTTTGTGGTTCAACTGCAACATGCATAGGGAGTTCATAATTGTTTGCATCTGGTTCCATGTGCATGCATATTTTATTGCAAAAAAGTCATTCATGTAGACATGTAGAAAAGCATTTGTATATAAAATTAAGGAAGTTTTAATGAAAAAGGTTTGGATTAAGTTCATATTAATAAAAAAAAATTTACTAACTTTATTTAATGTAAAGATCATGAAATTTAAAGAAAAAGGACAAAATTAAAGCCTCACAAGTAATTGGAGAAATAAAAAAAAAATTGGAGAAATAAAAAAAAAATCTGTTATTTTTGTTTTCCGTCCATCAAGAAGAAGAAGAGAGTGAGAAAGGTTGATGAAGAGAGAGAAAATATTATTTTATATTTAAAAAAGTTAATAAAGAGAGAGAAAATATTATTTTATATTATTTTAAGGAGAATTGATGGAGATAGAAGAAATTCACATGGACGGATGGAGATCCCCTTATACTTGATTTTTGAGTCTAGATAATATACTGTGAGTTATTTTACTGTAGTCTTAAAAATAGTATTTATTTTGTTTTTTTTTAGAAATAATATAGGTTATTTTGGTTCGTTTTTTAGATATAGTGTTGGGTAACTTTGCTGTAGTTTAAAAAATAATGTGAGTAATTTTGCCATAGTTTAAAAAATAGCGTGGTAATTTTGCTGTAATTTCAGAAATAATGTGAGTAATTTTGTTGTAATTTCATAAATAGTGTGATAATTTGCTGTAGTTTTAGAAATAATGTAAGTACTTTTGCTGTAGTTTAAAAAATAGTGGTAATTTTGCTATAATTTCATAAATAGTGTGGTAATTTGCTATAGCTTCAGAAATAATGTGAGAAATTTTGTTGTAGTTTCATAAATAGTGTGGTAATTTTTCTGTAGTTTCATAAATAATGTGGTAATTTTGCTATAGTTTCAAAAATAGTGTGAGTACTTTTGATGTAGTTTTGTAAATAGTGTGGTAATTTTGTTGTAGTTTAAAAAATAAGTGAGTAATTTTTGTTGTAGTTTCATAAATGGTGTGGTAATTTGCTGTAGTTCCAGAAATAATGTGAGTAATTTTGCTGTAGTTTCATAAATAGTGTCGTAATTTTGTTGTAGTTTCATAAATAGTGTGGTTGACACATCCCGTCCCGAAAGAGGGCATGTTGGCCGTCACGTGAGAGTGACGTAACCATTTACACAGTTCGGAAGCTTTAAAGAATACAATTACTAAGATATAACATCCGAGGGTGAATCCTACTTTTGTGAATTCTGTCAGAACACCGTTGGATTCCTTGTGGCCACCAAAGCTCTGCTAACTTGAACCTGGAGGGGCGCAAAACAAAGATGAGTGGGTCAGCAAAACAAAGCTTTTCGAAAACCTTTCATTTAAAACATTTCTAACCTCTCGTCGTAAAACCTGTATACTTTCCCAGAAAAAAAAAGATATAAACATATATATATCATCAAAAGCTCAAATCACAATCCTTCAACGCTTTTCAGAAAGAATATACCATGCCATGCCATATGCCAAAATATAATATGAAAGCATCAATATAAATCAGGTGAAATAATAAATCAACTGGAGACCCTACAGTGGTCCTGTACGGTTGATTCTATAGCTCAATATCCCATACAGCCGGAGTCACCAACTGTGACTTGTACGGCCCTGTCGGAGTTACCAACTGTCACATGTACGGCACTACACTGCACATAAGTCGGAACTACCTATAGTAGTCTGTACGACTAAGATGGTGAAATAATACGCTCTAGTGCTTTTCTCATCAATCATCTGTGTACATAATCTAAGGTCACCTACCAGTTGGAACCCCTCTAATGGTTTGTACGACTGGCATGTCGGAACCACCTCTAGTGGTCTGTACGACATCCACCTACTTGGATCCAAGGCGAGCGTGCGGTGTGGTGAATAATATAAGCACTAACACCTAGGGTGCAGGTTATGAGCTTCCAATGCAATTCACATAAAATAAATCGTATGAATAATGTAAAAACTCACCTGTGCGTTAACAGCGTCAATTCACATATATATGCATCAATTATCAATTCAAATATCTCATTGATTGCATGCATGGCATTTTAAAACATATTTTCATATAATTGCATTTTCTGGGAAAAAACAGTAGTATATAGGTAATACGAAAACAAAATTGCCCACTCACTGATAAGTCGATGGGTCGTAACCCCCATGACGTCCCTGGATGCGCTCGTCCTCGAGATAGGTGTCACCTATATGCGAAACAACTATAAAAACGTTAATTTAAACACATAACCAACAATTCGAAATAACTTCTCATACGATGCTCAATTTGGGTATATGAAGATACCACATCGACCTACTCGACGTCACGGACGTCAAGGAATTTTTAGAAAAATTTTTAGGCTTGCCACGCACCCTCACGCGCCGTGGGTGGCACGGACCTACGCGTCCCCACGTGCGTCTTCTTCCTCAGCCAGTCGCCAGACTGGTTTTTCCGGTGGCCAGATTCCGGCGAATTTTGTAATTGCTTGGTCTCCTTCGTTTCTCAACCGTTTTCTTCGAATTTTATGTCAATTTGAAGCCCTCAACATGTAGAATCACGATGGACTAGTTTCAAGGTCTAAAATTCACTAGATTTTACCTGGGGAAACACGATAATTCGGCAAAAAGTGAAACTTCGTTCTATGGCTCCTCGACGTCCAAAATACCTCAACGTTGCACTTCGAGCATCATGAGGACGTTCTAAAGCTCACTATAGCCCTGAAATTCAAAGAAAACCCTCCGTTTAAAAGTTGATGAATAGTGACCAACTCGGGGATTCGATTTTCCGGGGTTTTCTCACGTTAAACTTCAACCAAAATCATGCCAAATGACTAAGGAAAGAGACTTGTTACCTTTCTGAACCTCAAAATGGCGTGAAACCTCGACGATCAAATCGGTGCTACAGTGCTTCGACGGAACCCTCGTGGTTTCTGGGTTTATCGAAGATAATTCAACCAACCAAGGGTATGGTTGAATTCGTATTCTTGCAAGAAATATGATGGGGGGTCTTGGGAGCTTGATCCGTGAAGGAATGGGGTCAACGGACTACGTCCATACGATTTGTAGAGAAAGGGAGAGTTCGAAGGGAGGAGAGAGAGAGACACGGGGAAGGGAAAAGGAAGGAGGGCTTGTATGTGTGGTCCAACATCAATCCTCACCATCCATTCTCATCTTAGTTCCCTAACCACACAAACAATCCAACATAAGATAATTCCAAAATTTATAAAGTTTAAGTCTAAATAATGTCACATACACACATACCTTAATACCCGTCAAGGGTAATCCCGTCATTTCACGTTCCCGATATAAAAATCTCGGGACGGGCTGTGACAGTGGTAGTTTTGCTGTAGTTTCATAAATAGTGTTTGAATTTGCTTTGGTTTCAGAAATAATGTGAGAAATTTTGTTGTAGTTTCAGAAATAATGTGGTAATTTGTTGTAGTTTCAGAAAAACCAATACTTCATTTGATAAAGCTCAAAAAGCCAAATAACACTAAACCACACATTAATTTTTAACTTAGAAAACAAAACTCATATATCCAAATTTAGTAACACCACAAATTCTAATATCAGAAAACCCAGTTCATGTCCATCACTGGAAACAAAACTCAGAGTACATGAAGCTTTCTGAGTTCAACATCAACACTCCTTGCAACCCTGAAGGCGTTCATTGCCGATAACCAATCTAATGTGCAGAGCAACCTTCACACAACAATTCTCTGATGCCTCCATTGAATTGCAATCAATCACAAAAAAAAAGAAAAAAAAGAAGCAATTTGAAGCGAAAAAAAGAAAGAAGAGGTTTTGCAAATGAAAACAACCATCATGATTTGCTGCAATATGATGACCATAAACATTGTCTTGTAAAGTACCCAGCTAACGGGGCACTATGGGGACGGATTTGGTTCCAAGAAAGAGAAAAGTAAGTTCACTGCAATCACAAAATAAGCATCTATCAAAACTAGACAAGATTTTACACATCAAATTCCTTATTTAAGATTAAAATTTGATCAGGAATACCTCCTCTTCATTCACCAGTCTGTAATATAACATCAATTTCACAAGTAAAAACTTCATAAGCAATGAAGGGAACCGAAAGATCATGAGGAAAAAAAAAACATTTACTCAAATAATCAAAAGCAAAACTCAAAATATAAAATTCTCAAACATTTTGGCGAGAAACTTATGAGTAATAAAAATTGTCAAAACTAATTCTTATTTAAGATGAAATAATACTTGAAGGCTTGTTTGCTTTCAGAATCCTCAGGAGATTTTCCAACAATATAACGCAATAATTGCTCCACCTGGGCTCTATCCCGTAAACTGAGAACATAAACTTACACAAGGGGATCAATTATTCATCCACAATCAAGTTCCCTATTATACAAGATTTTATCTACGTATAATTCCTCCAAAATTCCCAAAAACTGTAAGGAAGGACAACAAATTCTGGTATTAAATTTAATATATATACAAGAGGGAACTTTGATAATATCAGTAGCAGTTAGGGGTGAGCACTTGAAACCTAAAATCGAAACTGAAACACAAATCAAACCGAACCGCACCGAACGGTTTGGTTTTGCTGTTTTGAAATGGTTTCGGTTTGAAACCGAACCCCAGTGAAAGAAAACGGTTTGGTTTTGGTTTCAGCATTTTGAAACCGAACCAAAACCGAACCGCATCATAAAAATAAAATATTTAATTAAATATCCATATTAGGTGTTGTGTTATAATTGATTGTTTGTTAAAGTCTATACATTTAGTATGGACTCGACCATGCTAGAAATTCATCTTTATCCTAGTCTTCGACTCTCGGTCACTCATCCAAGCATTTCCAATCATTTTTTCTATCCTAACTCTCATATGTTCTTCACACCTTACACAAACAAAATCTTCAAATCAATTTGTCTCCCACTCACTGCACAACAACTTTGATTCTTGGAGGCTAAACCCCCCCACCCCCAAACAATGAACCACTGTAAGCTTGGGTAACCGTAACCAACGCAGGTGAATGTGATATATTCCATAAGTGGTGGCACACCCATATCTAAATCTTCCAACAGGGCCATGAAAAATAGTGAACGAGCTTTAAGGTCTGGCCACTAAGTGTTTCACGTGGAAGACATCAGGGGAGGTAAGTATTAAAAGCCTAACTGGGATCCAATATGTTTCTACCCTGAGGAAGAAAAATGTATCATCTACCCTCACAACGACCCATTGATTGTGGAAGCTCACATAGCCAACTTTGAAGTACGACGAATCTTGGTAGACATGGGGGCTTCGGTCAATATCATATTTACTGAAGCTTTCAGGGCACTTAATGTAGCTGAACACTTGCTCGATCGCTTGATTTCCCCTCTAATAAGCTTATCCGGTGATAGCATGCAACCTTTGGGGAGCATACACTTACCTTTCACCATTGGTACATGCCCTTACACAGCTACCATTACCACTAACTTCCTGGTGGTTGATTGCCCAACGGCATACAATGTCATCTTCGGATGCACATGCATCAATGATCTCAAGGCCATGGTATCCACACATATGTTGTTGATGAAATTTCCAACCCTCTATGGAAATGGTTACATCATATGAGATCAACTTAGTGCACGATCATGTTACAACACTTCAGTCAAGCAACAACACCTGCCTGTGCCCAAGGAAACCCTTTCTATACATGACCAAGTCATAAAGACCAGCCCAGACGAAGCCAGCTTGGATCTTCACGGTGGCAACAGTCAACCCGACGATCCTCGAGATGACTCTTTCACCTAGCAAGCACAACCCGCTGAAGAGTTGGAGAAGGTCTCTATTTCAAAAGATTATCTGGATCGCATGGTGAAGATTGACACCACCTTGTCACACCCATTCGGTTGGCATTGATCTCTTTTTTGCAAGAGAACACTGAGGTCTTTGCCTGGTCATACGAGGACATGCCAGGCATCTCTCCCGATATCATCTGTCATCGCTTAAGTATTGACCCTAACCAAGCCAGTGAGACAGAAACGAAGATCTTATGCCGCTGAACGGTACAAGTCAATGAAGGCAGAAGTTGAAAAAATCAAAGGCATAGGTTTCGTCTGCGAAGTCAATTATCCAACGTGGGTAGCAAATGTGATCCTTGTTAAGAAGAATCCGACCATGGAAAGTCTCCTGCTCTAAAAAGTCTTGTGGAGAATGTGTGTCGATTACACCAACCTAAACAAAAGATGTTCGAAGTATAGCTTTCCTCTTTCTCGCATAGACAGACTTATAGACTCTACGGCAAGGTGTGAATTTCTGAGCTTCATGGATGCTTACTCAGGATACAACCAAATCCTCATGAACCCTCCAGACCAAGAACACACAGCCTTCATTACTGACAGGCGACTATATTGCTATAAAGTCATGCCCTTCAGCCTAAAGAATGCAGGAGCAACTTATCAGAGACTGGTCAATTCAGTGTTTGCCGAAGAAGAGCATGGAAGTTTACGTTGATGATATGCTAGTCAAGAGCAAACATGCTGACCAACACATCACCAACCTATCTGAAACTTTCACCATTCTGAAGAGGTATCGAATGAGGTTGAACCCCAACAAATGTGCCTTCGGCGTAGGCGGCGTAGGCTCTGGTAAATTCTTAGCTTTATGATAAGCCAACGAGGCATTGAGGCTAATCCCGATTATGGTAATGTCGAACGACCTATCTATTACGCTAGCAAAGCCTTACAAGATGCAGAGACACGATACTCCAACATTGAGAAATTGGCTCTAGCATTATTCATGTTTGCTCGAAAACTTCGCTCTTACTTCCAAGCACACTCCATCATCGTGCTTACCAATCATCCTCTTCGACAGATACTCCAAAGTCCTGACACTTCCGGGCGAATTATCAAATGGGCGATAACATTGGGTGAGTTTGACATCTCATACCAACCAAAGCCAGCTGAGAATGGCCAAGCAGTGGTAGACTTCACGCCGATTTCACATATCCTGTTGACGTTGTTTCTACGCCTAAAGAAGTGGTTTCATTACCCTCGGAAGCTCAGAAAATAGAACCAACAGCCCCAGCATGGAGTCTATATGTTGATGGCTTGTCCAACCAATAGGGTTGTGGAGCAGGACTAGTCCTTACGACCCCTGTTAAAATGGCGATGGAGTATGCTCTTCGTTTCAAATTCAAGGCGTTGAACAATGAGGTCGAATATGAAGCCCTTCTAGCAGGCTTACGTTTGGCCAAACACCTTGGGGTTAAACGAATTGATATCTTCATTGACTCCCAATTAGTGGTTAACTAGGTCACCAACCACTTTGACACTAAGGATAGCTCCATGGCAGCATATCTGGCACAAACACAATTGTTGCTCAAGCACTTCAACTACCAGATCACCCAAATTCCTCGAGCGGCAAACAATCATGCAGATGCTTTGGCTCGCCCCACCTTAGCGGTGGAAGAAATGTACAACCCGTAGTCCCCTTCATGCCACCAACCAGGTGATGAAATGTACAACCCGTACTCTAATATCATTTCGCAACTTGCCACTCATGCCACCAACCAGGTGAAGAAGGAACTCATCTTTAAGCCACCAACCAGGTGATGAAATGTACAACCCGTACTCTAATATCATTTGGCAACTTGCCATTCATTCCACCAACCAGGTGAAGAAGGAACTCATCCTCATGCCACCAACCGGGTGATGAAATGTGATGAAAGGTGATGAAAGCAAGTGATGAAAGCAACTTACCATTTATTCCACCCACCAGAAGACGAGTGGTACAAGTTGTACATGTGAACTCCTAGCATTCACAAATAATCAGAAACCTTCAAGCTTGACAACTCAACTAGGGGAGTACTTATGCCCAACAAGAGTTATAGTCACCAACAAAGTCCTATTGCAAGCCAACAACAACTTCAGTGCATGGCATACGAAGATCAAGCTATTCAACCTTTTTGCATCTGCTTCAGACATTTCTCCTCTGTAACAATGCAAACACTACAACTCGTAGAAAGCTTCACACATTCTTGATCAAGATAGTGTAAAGCAAAACCAATTTATGGTGCCAACAAAAGCTTCATCAATGGAGGGCAACCACAATTCTCAAAAGCT